TGTGGTCAAATTTGTCTATTCTGATTTTGTAATTACTGACTTATAAATGGTATATGAGATTGATTGGTTTCACAAACCCAGATTCTTCTTCTTCTTCTTATTTTTTTTCTCAAATATATATATATATATATATATACACTATTATTCTGAGAAAAATGTATTTTTGTAACAGGTGAGGAGGTTGGCAGGTTGCCAGAGCAATTGCCATTATGAGCCACCCTATCCCAAGCACCATGATTCTCATTCAGTGCAGTTTATCCTGCCACAAAGCAGTTGGGTCGCAAGTCGACATGTGAGTTATTTTTTCCCTTTTTTGGGTACCTGGATACCAGCATTAGAAGAAAAGTATTCATGAATTTTGGTTTAGTAGTCTTTTCTTTTTCTTTTAATGGGCAAATTTGTGATTTTCTCTCGGTCGAGTAGGTACCTTTTCTGCTGTTCTTACTCTCACAATGTTGCTCCTAAGGGCAAATTCATTGCATTTGTATCAACGGATGCAGAGACTGATAACCTGAGATTGAATTGAAGCCTGGGATTGATCTTTTAGGTCCTGTTGATGAATATTTTTTGAGATTCTTGACAGATATAGCCAGTCAATGAACCTTCATTGGACAATTGCTTTATAATCACAGTGAGTATTCTTTAGTACCTTTAAAGGTTTCTAAGACCCGTAACTTCCAAGTTTCTTTATATTTTACCTATGGTTGAACCATAAAAAACTCCATTGATCTTCAGAGTTATGATGCTACAACCCACTTTGAGACAAGTAATAGACGTGCTCAACATGTATACCATGATAACCGAAAGGTAAAATTTTGTATTTTGGTGCTAACTATCCATTTACATCGTGTTATGAAATATGAAAGTTGCTTGAAAATAACCTTTTCTAGTTTTTGTTATCCTTTTTGGGAAAAAAAGACTGTTTTAGGTTTAAATTAGATTCCATAATTGTTACCTGGTGTTAATGGTGACTTAATGACTTGTTTGTGACAGGTTCTCGACCTGACTGTGGATCTAAGTGCCGCCAGTGCCGCAGAAGAATGAGGAATACTACTTTGTGTTGCGCTTAATGTTTGTGGTGTATTCGAAGTTCTTTAGATGTTTGTTGCTGGTGGATTTCCTTCCCACAAAGTGGGTTAGACTTGTCATGGTTTCCTGTTTTATCATGGTTTACCATTATGTAATAAGATGGTGTTTTAAATATTCTTTAGAACTTTTTATGTAGATCTCAAATATGCATCTGGCTTTGCTCATGTGATTAACTCTTTTGTTTGCTTTTCCAAGTATGTGCGCATTTTAGTTTATACAGTAGAAATATACGTTTTGTTTGAATCCATCGAATGCAGACCTGAAAGAAGAAAGGTGAACAGATTAAGATCAAAGGAATGCTGTTATGTCATTACTGACGTTATATGTCTCAAGAATCAAGCAATGTTTGCAACCAAAATGATGTAGTTTCGTTGCTAGAGCCTTGCTATTGGACTTTGTACGCAGATTTTGTTAAGCTTTAGGGTTACTTTGGAAAAAGTCATCCAACGGTCTGTAAAAAAGACAATTTGACCTTATATATGTTGGTGAGAACATAGCATTACTCCTTATCTCGCCACCAATGGTCTTAAGTGAAATGTGTATATAATGGTTTACGGAGAGCATTTGTTGCATCTTATTGTATTACAATTAAAATAAGAACATCTGAGTACTGGAGTGGCCATCTTGTTATAACTTATAATACCATTAACCAGTGAGAATATCAAAATACAACCACACACACAAATATCGAATATTATTTTATGTATCTTGTTATTATAATCGGCCAATAAAATTATTGAGTATGGTTGTTAGTTGAGATCTGACAAAAGTCAAAACTCAACTCATGAAGTATCGAGTAGGTTAAATGTAGATGTTATTATCAGATATTTTACCCATCTGTGTGTTGTTAGATAGTTGGGGCAAATTAGAGTAATCGTGGATACACATAAGATTCGATTCTTTATTTGAGTATCCCTGATTTAAGGTGGGAAAAAGATTAGTCGAAGTATGTAAGCTGGTTCGGATACTTTCATCGGATTTAATGATATTTTAGTTTCATATTACTAAGTTTAACAATTTTACAGTATGAAATGTTACACAAGTTCTATTAAATAGTAACTATACTTGTTTATGGAATAAACTTTGGAAATTGACATATTTGAACAAAAGCCCTCCAACAGAAGATGATGGGCATGCAATATTTAACTGGATGGGGCTTAAAGCCCAAACTGAAACCCAAACCTATAAACCCTAAATTGAAGCCATCAGCAACAGCGTCTCTATCTTCTCCCTGTTAAGTATTTGCATTTAATCAGCTTCTCAATACCTATTTTTAGGAAATTAAATTTTGATACGAATTTATTTGCTTATCGATTTTAAAACCACCTAATCGACTAGAGTTGACCACTTCCCTATTACTAGATCATAGTCACTCACCACTACATAGCGTCGATGAGACTCCCCTGCTAGGGACATAACAGAATATTTAGTCACTGGGTCAAAACATCAATTATAAACCGAAGCCTCAAATCTTATAGCTTAGACTTTTCAAACAATTTATATAACCCAATAAAATTAACTCTTAAACCTATAAGAACTCATCAAATCCAATTATAAATATTAAGCAATTAACATATATCAAAATTAAAGCAAATCCCTAAATCTTTATAATTTAGGATTCATCAATTCTTTAAACCTATTCAAAATTCAATAACTAACCAAATTTATCAATCTAACTTAAAAAATAACTATTATACTCAATATACACAGAGTAAATCAAAACCCATGTCAAAATCTTGAATTTAATCTTCCATTTCAAACCTATTTATTAAACACAACAAAAACTATCGCTCATTATCTTTCATCATTAGAAAACTAAAATAAATATTTTAGGAAAAAAAAAAAAAGGGAATATATATCATTTTACCTTGTAACATCAAAGGATAATCTTGCTTAAGTAATTTAATCATAAGAAAAAGGTACAGAGAAGGAGTCAAAAAAAATGTTAGTTATCACAAATTTTTGTGAGATAAACATGAATTAGTGGGTCAAAATTGTAAATTTCATAATAAATAAGCTCTTTTTTTTTTTTTTTTTTTTTTTTTTTTTTTTTTTTTTTTTTTTTTTTTTTTTTTTTGTCAAAAGGTGAGTGGGTACCCATATAACAATGTTTTGACACCCAACCTGGCTCGGCCGGTTGAATAGGTTCAATTGAGTCCCGGGGCCTTTGCTGGGTGGGTTATCACTTTCAACTATCTACCCTAAACCTTAAAATGATGGACGACAATCGGCGAGCAGACAACGACAATTATGTTGGAGCTTTTGGAGAGGGAGTGCCAGTAAGTCCAAAGGTGGTGAAGGGAGTGATTTCCCATGAGTGAATCAACTAGAAAATGAAAAAATCAATCAGACAAAACAGTGGCTTGTCATCGGCGATTAGTGGAGTGAACGAAGGAGGGGTGACATGAGTTTTGGTCAGGAGGCTTAGGGGAGTGTTTTCATGGTGATGGAAAGTGTTGTATTCGCCAGAAACAGACCCTATTTGGCCTGCATTGTCGACGTCGACAATGGTGTTTGGGGTATACATCGACAATGGTGTTTGGGGTATTTTGCTAGATTACACGAACTTATAGTAATTTTTGGAGATGTTTTTGTTAAATTTCAAACTTTTAAGTACCAGTTTAGCCCGCCGGTCAAACAGGTTCAACCGGTTAAACCCAGACACTTGGCCACTTTGCTGGGTTTCAGCCGGATTGATTATTAAAACACTGCCAATAAATGTCGTCTGGCTACATCCGTGCTCTCCGCTATCGCCTATTCAAGCTTCAACAGTTTTTGCTTTTGGGGTCTTTTTCAATTTCCAAATTTTGAAAATAAAAATTTGTAATTCAGTCAATACTACAAGCAAATCCTGGATTTGCTTGTAGTATTGAGTAGCCATGGAGCTGGACGTTGACGTTTTACGTTATCTATCGGAGGATGATTTCAGGTTCAGGGTTCTCACTGCCGTCGAGATGGGCATGACGATTACGCAATTTATACGACTAAGCAAAGTTTGGAAGATTCTTTGCTTTAGGAATTTTCTAAATTAACAAACAGAGCACCTCTCTCTCATTTAGTCATTCATATATGCTTTTCTTTTTTCTTTCTGTTAAACATTTTCTCTTATATATCCACCTCCATCTTGACTTGGCCTCAGAAAACCCTCAACTCATCACTCTCATTTCTCTGAATCAAAATCAATCCATCATCTCACCATGGATGAAGAGTATGATGTCACAGTCTTAGGCACTGGCCTCAAAGAATGCATCCTCAGTGGCCTCCTCTCTGTTGATGGCCTCAAGGTCAATTTTCACTTCTGGGTCTTTTTTTTTCTTCCAGATTTTATCTGAGTTGTGATTGTTTCTTTGATTTTTATTGGTTTTGCTATCTGGGTTTGTTTCTGATTTCAATTTTGTGTCTGGGTTTGTTTTGTTTTGCTTCTGATCTGATGGATCTGTCTGTGTTGTTTAATCTGATTTATTGTTTCATTTTGGGGATTTGTTAATTAGGTTTGTAAGAAGATCTATGTTGGACTTGNATTATCTAGTATATGGAATATGTCAAACACTCCTCTAGGCTTTAGTATATTGAGTGTGTCGAGCACTCTTTCTAGTATTTTACTTGACCAGAGATCTTGATATACTCTACACACTAATTATCTTACAATAAATTCACTTATTAATTGAATACTTATATTTCAAGTGTATCAAATTTGTCCAAATATAATAAGAAAAATATCAAGATATATTATTTTTCAAAAAAATCAATCTCAATACACATTACCAATACTATATAATGAATTAGAAAAAAAAAAAAATGTGGCACTATTATGATGAAATAAGGCAGAGTTTGGAAGATATTCTTTGCTTTAGGAATTTTCTAAACTGACAAAGCAAGCACATCTCTCTTATTCATATATACTTTTCCTTTATTACTTTTTATTAAACACTTTCTTTTATATATCCACCTCCATCTTGACTTGGCCCCAGAAAACCCTCAACTCATCACTCTCATTTCTCTGAATCAAAATCAACCCATCATCTTACCGTGGATGAAGAATATGATGTCATGGTATTGGGCACTGGCCTCAAATAATGCATCCTCAGTGGCCTCCTCTCTGTTGATGGTCTCATCTTAAGGTCAATTTTTCACTTCTGGGTCTTGTTTTTTTGTCCAGATTTCATCTGGGTGGTGATTGCTTCTTTGATCTTTATTGGTTTTGCTATCTGGGTTTGCTTCCGATTTCAAATTTGTATCTGGGTTTGGTTTGTTTTGCTTCTGATCCGATGCATCTGTCTGTGTTGTTTGATCTGATTGATTGATTCATTTGGGGGATTTGCTAGTTTGTTTTGTGATAAAGATCTATGTTGGACTTGCTTTTAAACTAATCATCAGTTAAAGAACTAAGTAGATGATTAAGATTTTCGTTCTGGATAATTTCATGGATTGTTGGTTAGCTGATAATTTCCTAGGGATAAAGCCATGATTTCCTTTGATTTCGAAGATTGTAGGGTTTTGCGGTGTCTCAAGTTTTGAACTTGAGTTCGTTCGGTGGGGTTGTGGGATTTCGTGGCAGATGATATTTTTCTGTTCGGTGGGACGGTTAGAATTGATTGTATGCCTTTTTGTTGGCTGTTGGTTTTACAGTCAATTGATTACCTTGGCCGCATTTCTGTCTTATGAGGGCATGGTGGATGGTGAGGCTTTACAAGTGATGAAGTTGCACTTGAAAGTATATCAGCTAGAAGGGTGTTAAGATGCACTTAAGTGATTGGTTTTTGTTATAATTTCTGGTAACTTCTATTGGATTAGATTTAGTCTGGGCTGTGTTGTATGTTGTGCACTTGTAAGAGTTGTGTGTGGTAGTTTATAATTTATATCTCTCTTGCTTCTTGCTTTGCGTAAAAGCTTGCATGTTATGCATTGTCTTTAGTTTGTCGTTTTGATGTTCTTTTCAATGTCTTGTTATTCAGGTCCTGCACATGGATAGGAATGACTATTATGGAGGAGAATCAACATCACTCAATCTCAATCAGGTTCCACCTTTGTGAACTCTCATTCCTAGACTTTTCAATCTATTTGCAATTTTTGTTATGCTTCAAATGGTTTTGATTTCAGTATTGAAGGGGAAAGGTAAGTTAAAAACTATATAGACAGTACTTCTACATCATATTTTTTTCTCATGTGTACATAATTTGGAATTAATGGTAATAGGAAAGTGTACAGGAGCTGATAATGTTCAACCATCCAATAACTTGATTAGCAAAAAGGGAGATGGAACCACTAGTAGAATGAGGTAAGTTGATCTTATAGAAAAAGCCGAAAGTGATGAATCAGTATTGAAAAGTAAAGGTATGTGACTCGGATAAAAATTGAAATTTAATGCATTTCATATTAAATTTTAAGTTCTTTATATACATTTTCACATCTACATTATTTGGAATTGATAGAGAACAAAACGACTGAGGTGATAATAGTTGATAATGCCCGGTTCAGGCCATTAATCAAGGCTGTACAGGAGCGTAATTGGATAGTTTTACAAGATTTGGTAAATAGGACGCCTAGGGCCTTGACTAAAACTGTTTCAGAATATGGGGCTACCATTTTTCACATAATTAATGCATGGGGTGCCCTCATTTGGCTTATAAAGAAGCCTGCATTCAAGGTCAGTGCAAAAGAACTTTAAATTTGAGAGGATATTCTGGCCGATCCATTATATTCCTGCTATTTGTGGCAATAGAAAGGCTATAAAAGCTTATCTCCTTAGGCATGCAGAATTTCCAAACATGAGGAACGGAGACGGTTTTCTTCCAACATGTAGCAGCAGAATATGGCTACAAGGGAATAATTCAATTTCTTCTGTCAAAACAAAAGTACATATGGATGACGGTAAAGGTGTTAAAACTGATTAAAGATCTCATCAGTCTCCTTGTTCAATTGAAGTTTTTCAAAACAAAACTTATATCGGAGAAAACATAATTAAATAATATGGAAGTTAATTAAATCTGAAATCTCAGTTACATTGGGTAGAATGAAGTGAATTATGTAGCTTACTAAAGAGTACTACAACTAAGGAAAAGTAATACAAGCAAGGAACTCCTTTATGTAGACAAAAATACTACTGAGGAAACGTACTTTATAATGATACGAGGTAAGAGGTAATCTTCATTATAGCCATATCATAAAATTTTTTAATTAAATAGCTTGTACATAGTTGGCGTTTGTCAAACTAAGCTCTATTATTTCTATAATTTGATTTTGCTTTCTCTGCTTCTTAATGCCTCGGGAAAAAGAACGGGCAAAGCGGTAAGAGTTGAAGTTGAGACTGTTTTCCTTGCGGTTGCCAAGCTGCATCATTTTCCTAATCCTCATCCTGATCTTCGCCACGGTTGATGCTTTTGGTTCTTCCATATCATGATCAATCGGCCTGATCATTCAACCCAACCCAACCCAACAGTTCTTCACATGCACTTTTCTTCCTCGTATGGCTGAACTCCAGTCCATGTATCATCTAAATTTTGAAAACAAATTAATTAAACCTAACCTTCCTGAATTAAGTTCCACTTGACAAAGTTTCACATGCACCCAGTGTCTTAATTGTCATTAATTTGGGTCAATGTCAACATTTTCCACGTGTATTGGTACAAGTGTGAATCTAGCTAGCTGGAGACTGGACAGTCTCCGGAGAAGTCTTGACCATATAAGTTTATTCCTCCAAGCTATAAGTGACGGAGCCACTTAGGGCTGAGTGGGGCCGCATGCCCCCATGAACTCGGAATTTTTTTTTCTCCTTTTTTTTTTTTTTTTTTTTTGACAAGAAGGACCTTATTTATTTTATTTTATAAAAAAAAAATTAATCCCAGAATACTATATTTTGTCTTTTTCTTAAGGTTAATTCCTAACTATATATTTAAGTTTGTCTTTTACTTCCCCTCACTGAATATAGACTATAGAGTAGATCAACAAAAAAGGTCCTGTGTTTTATTATTCCCAAATTATTATTATTATTATTTTTCTATCTTTTGCCTAATCAAAATAGTGGTATTAATTGCTTGAATGCTTTTGGAAACTAAAGATAAGATACCATTGTATAATAGTTTTTGAGAACTAAGCATACAGTAACATTTGGAGACTAATTGATAAATGACAAATTTATTGTACATATATGAATCCGACAGTGCTTTTATGTTTTTTCAGTATAGAGCCTTTTGAAAAAATAATAATTATTATAATAATAAAGACTTGAAATCTCTTTTGATAACATCATGTTCTCATGAGATACTGAATTCAAGAATTAATAACAAAAATTTTAACGAGAGGTTAAGTATCATATTAGTATCAAAATGATACTCTTTTAACATTATATCTATATTCATAATTTGTTTTTAGCAATAGATACAATATTTGGCCGACATTTGGTGAAGAAAGTAAGGTGTCACATTTTTTAGGTCAGGTCTCAGACCAAACGTCACTTCATTTCAACTAAAATTTATGTAGATAGATAAACCATTTAAAAGCAACCATTTCAATATCAATTACTTTTTAGAAGCCAAAATCTGGTCACTTTGTATGGATTCCAACAAACGAATAATTAATTTCTAACTTGTACGTGGCGAGAAATATTATTAATCATTAATGTAATTTAAAAAATATTATTATAATCTGAAATTATTATACAATTAATATATTTGTCCATCACTAACGTTTTCTTTTTCTAAGAATTTTCCTTGCAACTCATCATTAATTTCAACAAAGTTAAACCCTTCATACATAAATTTGTTAAATTCTCATGATTAACTTGACCAAGACTTGTAAATTAGAGTCTACCACCAATGAGGACATCGTCACTCAATTAATTTTGCAAATATTTGATCTACACATCAAAGTAGCAAACATTCTTAATATTATATTGTTTTTAATTAATTATGGTTATGTCACCGCTTATTGTTTTTACCTAACTCGCAGGTCCTTTCCAAATGTAAAGGATTTTGACTAGTTTTCTATTGTAAATTTCTTAGAAGTTTGAGTTTATATCTTTCATGCGCGGATGTAAGTTTTATGTCCAATCATGTTAAATTATTGTCTCTTTTGTATAATTAGTGATTTATTCAACATTTATTAATTTTAATGTTGGTGTATTGAAAATTTGAAGATATGTTAATGATATGTTTACAAGTCCTAAAACACTTGTAAACATGAGTGAACAAAAAATTACAAGTTCTAAAATACTTGCTAATTTGGTTGAATTGAAGAATTGCACTCCAAGTCCCAAAACACTTAGATTGTGGAATGTATAAAATAGTGGAAGAAATTTGGCCTAAGCAAGTTCCAAGGAAGGAGAGAGTCCAAACATTTCAGCCAAAACAATTCCAAGTCTAAGCTCAACAAGGAAAACTCAAGTCTACCAAGAAAGAAATCCAAGTGTTGACAAAGTCCAATCCGGCCCAAGTCTCATTCTAAAGGGGAAGATCCACATGAACTCTCATTGGATCCATTTGCATGATTCTCAAGACCCAAACTCTTTCTATTTGCATGATTCTCAAGACCTAAACTCTTACACTCTTTTTAGTATACTTAATTAGAATCATTGATTAAGTTTTGAACTAATGAAATAAGCTTATTTCAAATAATGAGGTGGTTAAAGACATATACTCTAGAATTAGGGAATTATGTCTCTTTGCATTAAATAGGCATGACCTTGCTTTTTGAATAAATGACTTGTAATATTAGTTAAGTTTATTTTCATTTAATTGTATTTATCAATTACTTTTTTATCCTTGTATTTACCTATATAAGGACAACTATTTCATTATAACAATTAGCTTATGAAAAATATGAAATTGATTTATCCATTTGAGAGAACTTTTGTGTTCTTGAGTGTGCATTATTTATCCAAGTCTTGGAAAGGAGATTTGGTGTCAATCAATTCAGTTGGTAGAGTAATTCTTTAGACTTGAAGTGTTTCTACTTGTCTTGGTCCAGATTTGCAAGTAAGTATGATTTAGTTCATATTTTTAATTTAGCCGAATTTCTACTTGATTTTTGGAGTATGTTGTGATCAGTTTATTAATTATAATGAATTGAATTAAATTTATAAATGGAATCCTTGTGTTTGTGAATATCCTTACTAAATTTTTAGGATTTGTTTAGTAAGTGTAAAACCAGGATTTGCACTCAGCTGAGCTGAGCCGTACATTTGTCCAATTTAAAATTTTAATTATCTTTTTCCTTGTCTTTAAGCTAAAATCCAAATTTCAGCCTCTCTCTCTTGCTTCTTAAATTTAACAACTCCAATTTCCAATTTATTAATTAATTAAATTATTATATAGGAAGTTGATAGGAAATTTTCGTTAATTTTTAAAATGCTGAAAGAAGAACAATTCAATATAAAATATAGTTATATTATATAGATTTAGTATTTCTTAATTGACCAATATATTGAATTAATTAATCAATGCAATTTTCATGTGAATTTTAACAAAATATTTAGAATATAATTTTAAGAGTCATAAGGAACTATTTGTGAAAATTAATAGTTATTTCTATTGATTTATTAGAATCTAATAACGAACATTTGATCCACTAATTAAATATTCTTAATATTATATTACTTTAATTAATTAAGGTTATGTCACCACTCATCGTCTTTACCTAAGTCGTGAATCCATTCCAAACATAAAGCATTTTCTTTTTCTTTCCTCCGCAAAATCATCGTGTCGGATCCTTTTCTTAAGATTCTTAATTATGCTTTAATTTCCACCTTTATTTGCTGTTAATGTATTCGTCAAAAAGTAACCAAATTAACCAAATTCTCATAGAAAAGTAACCAAATTCTCTTTGCTTTCGCTCAAACTCATATTTCTTTACTTGTGACAATATCCCAATTCCTTTCCTCTTTCCTATAACTGAATCCATAGCATTTGTGGTTGAGCCTGTTGCCTCTGAACTCTTTAAAGGGTTGTTTGAGAAATTGGCATTTGTGGTTGAGCCTCTATAATATATGCTCGTTTGTCTTGAATCTTATAATTTGATTGTCACTATTTTGATAAAGGCGAAAGAAGTGAATAGATGGATTATGTTCAATCTTCCAACTCTAGAGTCAAAATCACTGAGACAATGCAAGTTGATTCCAATAAAGGAACCACGAAATTGGAATGCAAAAAGAATGCTCATGAATTTGGGACAGTGCAAGGTAAATAAAAGACGGAGATCATATTAAGTGATATGTTGCGTATTTTTCATCGGATCTTTCAATAACTAATATTATATATCGATAGATTCATAGATACATAGTAATTATTATCATGTATACATAATATATTTAAGATTAATAGTGAACGGAAAAACTAGAAAAGACATTCATATTCAACAATCCAATAACTCAATAAACCAAAAAGGGAGAAGAAACCACTAAAACGAGCCAAGCTAGAATTAATAGTGAACATAAATAGTAAGTTAAAAGAATATATACATAGTAATTTTTTTTTTTTCTTTCTCATTTGTACATTATTTAAAATTAATAGTGAATGAAAAGAGTACAAAAGATGATATTGTTCAGCCATCCAATAACTCAATTACGAAACCATTCAGAGGAAACAAGTTGATCTTCAATTAGCCAAAAGGGAGATAAAACCATTCAAAGGAAAGTCAAAAGAGAGATGAATCAATACTGAAAGAGGAATTGAAGGTAAGTTTAAAGACTTTATACCTCACAACTTTTTTCTCTCATGTGTGCACAAAAGGGAGATGAAACCATTCAAAGGATGGAATGAGTACAAAAAGGGATCATGTTCAACCATCCAGTTCTTCAGTTAGTGAAAAGAGAGATGCAGGCCCGGCTCAAGGAGTAAGCAGGTGAGGCACCTGCCTAGGGCCCCCCAAAAATAGGGATCCAAATTTTTTTATAATTGTTTTTTAATATATTTAAAAACGAAAATGGCGTATGATTTTTTATGCAGTGCAAAAAAAAAAAAAAAAAAAAAAAAAACCCAAATTTATTATAAATTTTTTACATATATTCCTACCCAAAGTTTGACAAAATAGCAAGTTTATACCTCTAGTTTTATATATTCCAATTTACACCCCTAAATTAACACATTGAATTTCTTTTAACAATAAAAGGCTAAAATAATTATTTACATGTGTCAAATTACTCTACCCCAATTCCATCCCAAAATTTGACATTCACATAAATCATCTCCACCCCTCTTCTGCCGCCAGCTGTTTAGAGTTGATTCCGATCAATTTTCTCACCTAAATTGACCGGAATCATCACTT